AGTGCCTCACATAACTTGTTCTTGATTCCTGATTTATGTCTCTCAAGTGCTACAATGATAAAAAAAAGAAAAAGACCCAAAGAAGAATTTCATTTTAAGGCACTGGTACTTTAAGTTGCTTGTCCAAAGCCACAGAGTGAAATGATGCAGAGCCAGATTTAGAACACAAGGAATTTCTATTACCCAGTTTCAGTCTCAGACCATTATTTTGCTTCTCTCTAGCAAATGACCTTGTCTGATGATGTTCTTCAATACATCACACAGGTCTTGCCATGCCACTGCCAGCACCTCTGCTCCTCTGAGTCACGACAAAGGCAATTGGACAGCAAGCAGCTCCTTTCCTCTAGGTTTAACACTCACAAGGAACCCTTTGGAAGTGCAGAAGTGAACCCTGAGGGTTATGAGCATGTATTAGGTGACAGTCAGGGTAGCATGCTCCAGGACTGACAGCTGGGAAGGACTTCAGCACAGGGCACAGGACTTGCTGCAGGCTGAGTACCTGAAAAGGAGCTGGTAGCATGGTCTTGAGATTAGTGACTTTTTTCTGACAAATGTGGAAAAATAAGTCAGTGTTTTGTATTGCATTAATAACATGCAGAACAATAACCCATTCAGAAGACAAGTCAGTAGGTAAGTTTATTGCTTTGGGGCCTTTTGAAGAGTCCAAGAATGTGTCTCTATGTTATCTGGGCTGTCACCTGGGAGGCATCTCTTAACTATCTCCACAAATTTCAGGAGGGATCTCAGAGGTAGGACAGTGTTTGGATGTATACCCACTCCTCACAGTGTCTCCTCAACACAAGTGCTTCACCTTGTGATTTTGTGGGCATGGTATTCTGGCTTTTCTTTGAACTCAGTCTCTTTTCAGAAAAAATACTTTACTTAGCTCAGGAGAAGAAAGCACTGAACACAGCATGTATCCCACCTGTCTGACATGATTACTTCCAGTAAAGCCAATGGAATTATTTGAGCAGGATGTGGTCCAGTGTTAAGAAATCTTTAAAGCATGGGAGCAAAAAACATGTGTGTGTCTTTATATGCTGGAATTTATCCATTTTCAGGCACAGACAGAGGGAGTATTAAGGATCATGAAAAAGTGCCATTAAAGGCATATTGTACAGGGATGTGAGGCATAGGACAGGGCAGGGTAGAATAGGATAGGAGAGGATGGGAAATAATCTCAGTTAGGCAAATAGGATAGTTTGTCCAAGTAACTTCTCCAAATCTTTACAAGGTGCCTAGTTGGCACCTGGTTGGTACACCTAGTTTCAGGTTCATGCTTTCTTGAAGTTACAGGTTAAGTAATTAAATTATTATGAAAACAATACTAGATGTGGGCACAGGCTGCAAATATTTTCCTTTTTTTCCTGAAAAAGCAAACTAATTAAAAATAATTTCCTCTCCTCTTTCTTTGCCAAGACCTATTTTCAGGATTCTGTGCTCCCCCTCAAGAAGCCAATGAAATCTCATGCACCTAAAACAAATAGAGGCAGTATACTTAAGACTTGGCTGGATAAAAAAAAAGGAAATTATTTAGTATTTTTAAATATTTTGATTTAAAATTGTCATTTTTATATTCATACACATTTTGCTGTTAATTTTGGCTGGTAAATACTTGTCTTTATAAAACAACAACTTAACCATTCACCTTTCATATGCCATTGAACTCAGATTCAGTGTCATCTTAGGTTTCTGTGCTTGCTATTTCCAGGACACAGAGCAATTATCTATAAAACTTGAATGTGAAGTGCATCTGGGTTGAACAAGGACAGTACAAATCTTGCCCCTGCTTGCCCAGGGCCATGTACAGTGAGTAGAGCCAAGCCCTCTGCAGTTCTTACCCTGTGTACCTGCCACCAGAGAGACTAAGTTCTTCCCAGCAGCACGTCAAAGTGTACAACTGGTGTCTGTTTCACTTATGTTCAGTCTACCTCTCCCAGAAGCCAAAATGTAGGTGGTGGAGCCTGTTACTCTGTGTAATGAGTGCTAAAGAAGTGCTTGGTGATGATTTGTTTCAATTTTTATCATTCTTCTTTACTTTTTTTCATAATGCCTGTCTTGCTGTCCCAGTGGAAGATGGTAAAGTCAAGAAAGTAGCTTTTTGGGGGTTGTGGCCCTCCTTCTTGAAGTATTCAGGTCATCTGTTGAAGTTACAGTGGCCACTCATGCTGGAAGTTAAATACACACATTTGTCATTGAAGTTACAGTGGCTACTCGTGCTGGAAGTTAAATACACACATTTGTCAGATTGAACTATCTGTTTCACTTGAGTAAAGGGGGTATATATTCTTCATGCAAGGTTATCAATTCACAGGTTCCATGAAATAATGAATAAAGGAAAAGATAAGGGAAAAGAAAACCTGAGAAAATTATTGTTAAAAATGTAAATAAAATTTCTGTGTGAATGAAGTTTTAAGTAAGGATTTAAAATAAAAAAAGAAATTTTATAGTTTAATTTTTACTCCCAAGTGTTTGTAATGCTTTGCTAACACATCAGGTTTTTTGTTCTTTCACAAAATGACTGCACTGCCACTCAGATACCTCAAACATGTTCATAGATTCTTCTGTAAGGCATTTCCCATCCCACTTTTATGGGAGCTGCTGGGCAGCCAGCTGAAGAGTACTCAAGTCATTAGAGCCTGGTTGAAAACACATAAATAAGTGTATTTTAGTGTTCTTGTGAGTATGTTCTCTGGACTGAATGTGATATAAAACTGATGTATGTCCATATGTGGTCACAGGCTTGGGTTTATGTTAGGAAACAGTTTATAAATATATTGAATTCTTCAGTAGCATATCACAACTCTGGAAACCTGCTCTTTGACTGCCAGAAAATGGCAGGTGAGTTTAAGTTGGTACAAATCATGACAGAAGCAGGAATATTTTAAGATATGGGCAGGAAAATTATTTGCCATGGATAAGCTACTATATAGTCTTGCAGTTTGTCAGCCTCTCTGTGTGAGACTTGTGGGGTAAGTTCCCAGTGACCAACTCCCCCATGGAAAGAAAGGGACAAGCTACCTCTCATGTTGTGCAAGGTCATGCATGAGTTGTGCCCCGACTTACCTCATGTCAGCTTTCTTGTCCTGTTTATATTCTCCATTACCATTCAGTTTGGCCAATGCCATTTAGCCTGCCTATGTTTCCACACGTGCTGGATAAATGATCCTCTCAAGAAGTGATGGGAATGTTGCTCCAGTGCTTTTAGCAGTGCTTAGATTCTTCTCATAGTGCAGCCTTTAATAGCCACCATGGCCAGTGGTGGGTAAACTGATTCTTGCTTGATGCAATCGTGTAGTGCAAAAATTTCAGTGGTGGTTAAAGTGATTCTTCCTTGATGCAATCGTGTAGTGCAAAAATTAAAACTAAATTGTTTTGTTTTCAGCCCTATTTTATGTAAACTTTGTATCCTCCCCACAGGAATGTGAGGACTGCAGAGAAAAACATGCAGGAGTTGGGAAATATCAGAGAGAAAGGTCCCATCTTGCTTCTGTGCATTGTCTCTTCAATTACACGGATTATGCAGTGTTTTCCACCAGCTTCCTTCTTGCTGGTGGCACAGGATGAATAGGGTTAGGGCCTAGCACCAGGTTTGTGAAGTCGAAGGTGCCTCTGTCCAAACACCTCCAGGAAAATTTTTTTGCAGGAAATGGAGGCAGCATTATGAATGAAGCAAGGATTTACAGATGGAAAGAGACACTATTACAGATGGCAAGATGAAGCTGTTCCCTTCCTTTTCTCTAGAGTCACTGCTTAACAGGCTGTAGCCAAATACTTGAGCTGAGATATTCACAGGAAGCCTCTGTGCACAGTTTTGGAGGGTTTCAAAAGTGACCCCCGTCTGTCCTTCGCAAAAATTGCAGAGCTTGCAGGAGGATGCTTTGAGATGTGCTTTGAACAACTAACTTACCATCTGATTGGTAATGCAGAGTACCCTGCAGAAGTCAGCCTTCTGGTTTCTGGTTGAGCATTCAAAATCAGCTGATACTTCTGAAAATTTTGATTTCTGTTTCTCTCTGTTTGTGTCCCCAGTTATAAGTTAAGGATGATACCACCTCCTTTTTAAAGGTATGGAAGTAAAGTCACAGCATTTATGGTAGACCCAAGTACTAGAAATAGTAACTAGGTTAAAGTATCCATGAAGATGTTTATCATCTCTCCTCAGAGCATAACTTGGTCACTCCATACTCAATAGAAGATTGGTTTTAAATCCTTATTTACTATCCATTTTGCTGACTTCACATTTTGGCCTTTTGAGCTCATTTATCTCCACACCTCTCCTTATTTTCGCCTTAGTATTTTGCTCCTCTCCTTTCTCCTTTCATTACTTAATGAGTCTGGTGGCTTTCAGAGAGAAACTGTGCCATTAGGAGGGAGAGCCTTTCAGTTCTGCACTTGGGAATATGTGTTTCCCCCTTCACTGACATGTCCCACTTAAGCTAGATGAGTTGCTGTGGAGGAGCATCTGTGAGGATGGCAGATACCACATCTAACCAGCACAGAGAAAGGCTCTACCACTTTCATGGGGAAGTGAATCTATCCAGCCTATGCAAGCATATTTTTTCAAAGGTTTATAACTTAGCCAAATCTGGACAACTTTTAATAAAAACTTTTCCCCTGCCAAAATTTTAAGTCCTTTCTCCAAAACATGGAGGCACTAGAGTTTTTTAATGAAACAGTTATTAAAAAACAAAACAAAACTAGGAATAATAACATGTTTTTCTCTCAGTTGTTCTCAGAAAGGTTGTTCTGTTGTTCTCAGAAATGGCTGAACCAGCTCAGCCCGATTTATTTATTTTGGAAAGAGTCAGCTGAGACAAACTTTCAGCATGGGAAATTTCAGCCCAACTGGTTAGCGCTTCTTGAAGTTTGGCAAAGTTTAATGCAAGTGAAAAAGTTCTTATACTGAGAAGTCAAAGGCAAGCTTACAGATTAGCAATGCTCCTTGCTTAGTATAGAAAAAGGCTATATATATTAACTGTTTTTTCTTAATGTTTCAGATTCTTTGAGTATATATTGCTCTACAAAGATGCAGTGATGTTTCAGATTGAACAAGTTACAAAGCTTTGCTCGAAGATTGCTCTGACAGAGCCATGGGATCCATATGATATTCCTGCCAATTCAACTTATGAAGATCAGTACTACATTGGGGGACCTGGAGATGAAATTATGGTACAGGAATGGTCTGACAGAAAACCAGCCAGGAAATGTATGTGCATGCTTTTGTTTCATCTTATTAATAATCAATGTCTCTGCTGACCCCAACTTTGCATATTTCTGTAAAATTTCCTGGAAGAAATAATAAAAATGTCCTGTGCACAGCATATCATTTTATTAGCGATGCACTTGATTAAGAAAATGTTTCATATCTCAGCAGGGTTAAATATGTCCAAGGGACTTGATTGTATTGTCATTTGCATCACACAGATTTTGGCATAAAACACAATCGTTTTGTATCTGAGTCTGTCAGTCTGTATCCAAAATTTATCTAGAGAAGAAGTGATATTATAGAGGCACACTCAAACTAGAGTCTGCATCATAGAAACAAAGCAGGTGTCAGCATTTGTCTACTCATTACTATCAAATGTTATAACAGAATACATCCAATCCTTGCTTCTGTGTTTGTTGACATCCTTAATATGTGCCTAAATTTTGTTGTCCACCATACTAGTAAGAAACATCTATTTACAAGGCTTAGTTCTACACTTGGCAGCTGAACACCTGCATCATGAAAGAAAGTAGGCTGAGTTTTCCAAGGTACAGTATGTTAGGTTTTGAATGCATAGCAATTTATTAGCACATTGGCTTCAATTCTTGTATGGTTTATTGATAACCCAGACAACTATAAAAATAATTTTAACTCCCCTGTGAAATTTATGGTACTATTTAGCTAATGCAATGCTTATGCTTATAGACGTCTAATATATAGGCTTGTTCTGAACTTGAGCATTTAGCCAGGGGAAAATATTTCTTTCTTGAATAAAAGTAGAAAAAATTAAGTAGAGTTTGAAGGGTAAGATCATTAGACCTCTGGAACTAGGTTGATATATCCTCTGGTGTTCTTCAAGAGGCAAATTATCACTTACTCCAACGATTTTGTTTTTCAGATCTGATATTTTTAGAACTTTTATGGAATTTAATATCCAGATGCATTCAGTTAATGATGTGTGATTTTTATCTTGTATTATTTTGTATCTCCAGTGCTTTTCTGTACAATCATTCATAAAAAAGAATATCTTAAAGTTGTCTGCCTATCTGCCTTTCAGCTAATATTGGCTTGGATGATCATTCATAAAAAGAACATCTTAAAGTTGTCTGCCTGTCTGCCTTTCAGCTAATATTGGCTTGGATTCTAGAAATTTTATTTCTGTTAAAATCATAGAATCACAGAATCGGTTAGGTTGAAAGGGATCACAATGGGTCATCTGGGCCAACTTGAGCAGGGCTATTCTAGAGCGCATGGCTCAGATTTGCATCCAGGTAGTTCTTGTACCTGCAGTGAGGGAGAATCCATGACCACTCTGGGCAATCTGTTCCAGTGCTCAGTAACTTGCATAGTAAAGAAGTTCTTCCTCATATTTAGGTGGAACTTCCTGTGCATCAGTTTTTGCCTGTTACCTCTTGTTTTATTGGTTTCCATCACGGAGAAGACATCTTGGCACTTCCCATTCGTGTACTTGAATATATTAATGAAGTCCTCTCTCAGTCATCTTTTCTCGAGACTGAACAGGCCCAACTCTCTCAGACTTTCCTCATAAATGAGGTACTCCAGACCCTTAACCATCTTTGTTGCCCTGTGCTGGACCTGCTCCAGGAGCTCCATGTCCCCCTGTGCTCTACACAGCACTCCAGGTGTGGCCTCACAAGGACTGAATAGGGGGGCAGGATCACCTCCCTCAACCTGCTGGCAATGCTCTTCTTAATGCATCCCAGGATTCCATTGACCTTCTTAGCCACTTGATTTATGGACAGGTTGTTGTCCACCAGGACCCCTAGGTCCTTCTCTGCAGAAGGAACTAGGAATTATAAAAGGCATGAGGAAGAAGTGACACAAAATTCAGGAGAGATATAGGCTACCTTGGTAGCATCATGTTTTACCATGATTTTTTATTCAAAATACTCAAAACCTGACACATTGAGGTCAGAACCTCTTTGGTATATTAGGATTCCCCAGAGAAGTATGTTCAAATATTGCTCAGCTTGCCACCCTTTCTTTAGGTACTGTATGTGCGTTTCATGTAACAGCTTATCTATTTCTGGTAATTGATTGTAGTACAGCATATGACAATACTGGAAGGACAGAAAATAAGTGTGTGTGATTGCTGATGAGTGAGAGAAAATAAGCCTCCTTGGGATTGAAAAATTTTTTCCCTCAGAGGAAGTTTATTTATGATCACAGTTGAAAATTTTGTAGCATGAGTTTTTGCTTTCAAGACATCTGAAATACATAAAACAATGGTATGAAGGGGAGTATGATGGAAGGGGTAAAGAGTGATCACAAAAGATTTGTGTGGGGTTAATAAAAGAGATATAAAAGTGAAGGGTATTCAAAGGAAACCACCACAATGTTATTACTACCAGTGCAGAAATAGCATAGTGGTGAAAGTAGAGGTGATGGCAGAGAATAAGGAGGAAAGAAGGAAAGGGAACACCTCTGAGATTGGCACATCATGGCATTAAACTGAAGTTCAAAAAGGGACAGACCTGCTACATCACATATCTGGAGATCAGCATTGAGTGTAATCTTGACAGATGAATCGGTAGAAGTGTTTGAAAAGAATAGGATTTTTTTTTTAAATAACATGATAATGAGGATCTGAATAGATGATAGTAAACAGAAGGAACGAGTTAAAAGAAGAAATGGAGGCACTGAAGATGTATTTGGGAATGTTCCTCTCCTAGTGAGACTGACCCTCTGTGCTTGAGACAGATGAAAAAAGATGAAACGAGATTATGTTTATTTTGATCAAAGTTGTGCTGATTATCATCAGTGTTAAGATTATAGAGGACCAACAGGTGTGGAAGCAGAATGCTGTGGCCATCAGTTCTGGTGCAGAGGAGTCCCCAGCACAGCAGAGGACAAGTGCTTCCTTGGGTAGGTGTGTACAGAACTTCCTGGACACAGGAAAGAATCAGATGTCCCACACAGTTGGGGGAACTAAGTGTTTTAGAGTGTCAAAGGCTGTGTTGAGACTCAACATTGTGAAATGGACCACAGGTTTTCAATAATCACACCTTTCATCTTGTCAAGAACGACATAAGGTGAAATGTCCCAGTGCTGTTCAAGCTGGTGTCACCAAAATTTGCCTTCTGGGGAAAGAAAGCACTTCATTCCTTTAGTAGTAACGTGAGTCAGTGCTGACATGAAAGTGTCATGACAGGTGGCAGCAATCAGACTTGTGCAGAACATAACTAAATTTGAGACTGAGAAGAAGGGATAGTCCTTCAGTAGAGGTATACTTGAAAGGTGACATTCCGATGGTATCGTGATTTGAAATGTGCTTGACACCAACACGTTCAGGTTCAAGATCATTGTGGTGTCCAAATTACACCAGCTTTGTGGCCTTTCTGGGTGCTGCTGTGCATATGGATGGAACTATGGGCAGTTCCAGCTGATAGGCTTGGCTTGAGGAGTGACCATTCTTTTGATTGATGTTGTCAACGCATATTCATTCGTTCTTGCCATCTAAAGTAATCACATTTCTGCTTGATTACAGTGGAATCCTGGGTCGGCGTTTACACCGTCAAAGACTGTTATCCAGTACAGGAAACCTATTCTAAGAACTACAGTGTGACAACCTCCACTCGCTTCTTTGATATACACCTGGGCATTAGTGACCCCTCAGTGTTTACCCCACCCAGCACCTGCCAGACAGCTCAGCTGAAGAGGATGAAAGATGAATGCTGATTATGGACACTGGCTGCCCTGGGCAAACACCTATTAGCCAAGAGAATGGTTATTAATAGTCAGCTGCTGACATCTAGCCTGATTTTTTCAAGCTAATTGTTGCTCTTTTGGGAATTTGTAAGTTTTCACTTGAAGGAGCATAGAAACATATAACTAAGTAAAATATATAACACAAAAGATCTCTTTCAATCACATTAATCTGTTCAGTGATGCACTTGTAGTATTAGATAGTTACCACTAAGATAATGTTTCTAGATACTATTTATTTAAGCTGTGGATTATTGTCCTTTTGCAGAATTTTCATTGTTTATTTTTTCAAGATGGCAAAGCATAAGTAGACTGTAATAAAGGTAATGTCTAGGAAGAAAAGCTAGATTTTGTTGTTGTTCTTACTTCAGGGGATTTGAGGGAAGGGGAAACATGACCTGGGTAAGACCTCATCCCTAAGTGAAAAATACCATTTTAAACTATGTACATAAATATTGTGGAAAATTGTTCTTTTGATTTTATTTTGCTTTGTGTTCTGTTGTTTTTTTCCTGCTCTTTAGGAAGCTGGTAGTCTCAATTTTGAGCAAATTTTTGTTCTTTCTGAAAAGAAACTGGAGTAGCTCTATTCATGTAGTGCTAGCCTACATGCAAAAAATACTTTTCTGTTTCTTGGGAGAATGGTGTGAAAGGAAGGGAAGGAGGGAGAGATACACCTTCAAAAACAGTAAGCCAAAGTTTTCATGCATGTACTGCACTTTTGGTGAAGGGTTCCATAGGGTGTGAAGAGACATTTTTCAGTCATATATTACTTTAGCACCCACTTCTCAAGGCAATACAAGTTTTAACCTATGCAAACAGATTAAAAGGTACTGCACTCTAAGTGGATTTAATATTTTGTGACTGTTTTCAAAAATCTTTACTCAAAGAGTATGGAAACAATAATAATAATTTCAGATAGATGTGGGGGAAAAAAAACGTTCTTAGTGCAGTTAGTAAAGGCTAAATCAGCATTCACACAGTGCCCGGTGATGTGGATGGAGTGAAAGACAGAGCTGTGTGAACTGTGTAGGGAGGTGGTAGGAGGAAGGAATGGGAGGGAGAGATTATAGATGTCCTCTGTGCAGTGCAGCACTGAGGCACTGCAATCTAAGCAGATATGACAATCTTGCTTTCTTTTGCACCCACTCCATTGATGCCTGCCTTATTTGCTGTTTCATCAGCGTCTCAAATCTTAAGATCTTCACATCCTTTTCTGGTGCACAAAATGAAAGTTTCCTTACAGGGAGCTAACAAAAAAGCACAGGAAGGACACATATCTTGTGTTAGAAAATGGCAACAAAGCCTTCATGCACTTTCAGGACTCTCAGAAGTGTGGAATAGTAATGGGGTTTGCACTTTTACCAAATTAACTAATTGGTGTATTCTGTAAGGCATGCATTTTATGTATTATTTGCAAACAGGTTTAAAGCTAGATTCTTGTCCTCTTACATGTGTTGGGTAGTTGTTTGCTAAGTTGTCTGGCTGTAAACAGTGCAAAAGTGGGAAGTTTAGTGTCTCTGGAGGAGAGATGCTGGGCAAGCTTTAGTGCTTTATATGCTCATAGCTTTCTTTGTGCGTAAGCAAGTGGGACACTGGTTACTTTGCTTTCACAGTTGTGGTCAGAATGGCCCTTTACTTTGCCCTGTGGCTCATGAAAGCACATATACATACCAGTTAAAATTTAGCTAGTTCATTAAAAAATTTCTCTCAGACAGGACTGTCACTGAAATACACTAGTGGAAAGAAGGATTGGGTTTCCTTGAATTTAGAGTGCATTTATTCTGTACTCGCCTTCTGTATTTTTTGTGACAACCTAAATGCTAACTGCATATCGTTCTCATTAGGACAGTGATTAACATGCATTTCTTAATGTGTGTGTTGTTAGAATCTGGAAAATATAATAAATCTGGCTGGCAAACATGAAGCTGTGGTACTGTTGTCTTTTGGGATGGCTTTGTTGCAGTTGAACAGATAGCTGGGTAATCAGGGTGTTTGTGTCATGTTTTGCTGACACTGCTATAATTTCTAGCAATAACATTAAATGTTCTTTTAAATATGGATTTGCAGAAGTCTGGTACACAAAAGTGCTTTAAAAATGTTGCCATGACATACAGGGCAATTTTACATAGCTAAATATGTACCTCTAAAACAATGCTGCTCTACAAATTCAATAGAGTTCTCAAGGAGATGTCAAACAGCAAAATTTAGGATTAAGTATTTTAAATTAGTCATGAAACAAATATGAAGCACAACATGCATATGCCTGGCTTGTTATCTTTGTTATCATTTGCTTTAGTTTGTTGTCATGTACCACAAGAGACATTTTGTCCTCACACAATTATGCCAATGGCTCAGTAAGAAGGAGCATAAAACAACCTTAAAGTAGCTACATAGTATGCTGCCAGAGTTGAGTAAAAATGGTGGTTTCACATGTCTGATAGTCTGGAAAATTTGTTTAGCACAGTTATTTGGTGGAAATGAATAATAAATTGGTATGTACATAAGTTACATTGTATTCCGTGAGGTAACAGTGACAGAACCTGGGAGCTGGATAGCCTGAGAGGCAAAGCTGATTTTGTGAGATTTCCAGTGTTTTCTGGTTTCAGCTGGGCCAGAAATAGTGCAAACATAGATCTGCCTGCCATATTTCTGTGTTTCTGCTTGGAGGCTTCACTGAAAGCAGGATGTGTAGAAATACAACATTGTTTTATTTGAAGTTAACCAAACATTCCTGAACCTCAAAAAAAGGTTTAGTTTGAGTTCAGGGAGGAGATTTGGACACTTGGTTCTGTTCCTATTTTAACAGTTTGCTTAACTCTAGTATTAGGGACAGATTTCACTGCCTCAAACCTTGCTGCAGCCCACAGAAGTGCTGCCATTTACTAGGGCATGCCAACTTTCATGAAGAATCAAGGAAGAGACACAATAATCCATAGTCAAAGTAAATTCTAGTCAAGAAGTCTCTAAGCAGTATAGTATTCTTATTTGGAGAGACTAAGAAAATTAGTGTGTTTCCCACCTTGAAGTGCCTTTCACTCAAGTGTTCACACTTATTCCTAGCAATCCTGCATCTCTTTTCCCAGCACCCTTTAGTTCCTGATGTCAGTGAAGTCCCCTTTCAAAGCAATGTTTACAACCTTCACTTGCATTTATTTCAGTAGGAGTTCAGCACCTAAATACCAGATGGATCTGATCTGGACTTAACCTCTAATTTTCTAGCAGTTCTATCTCAAGTGCAAGAGCAGCACCAGTCATAACCAAATGTGAGCAACATATGCTGAACTATATGCAGGTGTCTAACAGAGAGACCAGCATTGGCTCACATGCAATTGCTGGTATCCCAAAATACCAATTGATGAGAGGCCTCAGCATGGCTGCTGCATCACATCCTGCTTCTCCTGCATCCTTGGCCACAAACTGGTACTGGAGGCAAACTGCAGGACATTCCCACATGACCAAAAGTCATGTCAGCATATCGTCAACTACATGCTTGTACCTTAGCCATGAGGAATAAAGATTTCAAAAGAGAAACTACACAAACAGACAAAGGTCTCTGGCTTTAAAGATCCAGAGATCTCCATTAGCTACCTTTCCAGAAGACTGCACGTATGGCGTGGACTCAGACACATACAGATTTAATCTTCATATCTGCACTTAGGCATAGGAACAAATGAAGCAAGATTGGGAGGCTTTTTAAACACTTCTGAGCATTTACTGCTTTGTAAGGGGACAGGAAGAAGAGCTTATGATCCAATCAGTAGTCCCAGAAAACTGCCAGAAATGTAGGATAAGAACGATGAGATGTTGCTATGAAGATGCTAGGGTAAATTTCCAAACACTGCTTTGAGTGCATACTGGTTTAACACACTCCAGGATAAAGATCTGTGTGGTTTGATATGGCTGTTTCACCATAGAGCCTGAAAGTGCATTCTGAATGAAATGATGCACAAAGTTACAGTATGCTATTTTGTTTGAAACAAGGAGAAATAGCCCAGCGCTACATGTTTTGCAGGCATGAGTGCATGACTGGTGACCTGTCTGTCTATCTACAGGAATAGATGTGCCTGTAAAAGGGTGCTGCCTGCTGCCTCTGAAGACTGAAGAATTACTCTTCTCACCACTGCGTCCATGGGAACCTACTTTAGACTCCTTTCTTTCCCACTCTGCAAAGTGGGAACAATAATTCTGCTTTCCACCTGCTCTTGCCTTCCTGATTCTGATAGCGCTGGGCCAAGATGACTACCTTAGCCAGTGGGGACTGCAAAGGCCTAGAGGCATTACTGCAGTGGCATGAATGTCATGGAGGGTTCCCAGCCTCTGCCTTACAACATGTAATAAAATTACGTGTGTGTGTTATACGTCTGGGCTTACCATTTGCACCCCTGTGTGCTCACTCAGTGCATGGGCATGTTGCTCATGTGCTCAGCACCTGGCTGTCACCATTAATTGGGCTCAGCTCAAGCTTCGTTGACGCCAGGCAAAGGGACTTCTGAGCAAAAGGAAAGGAAAGGAAATGAAAGGAAAGCCTGCTGGGCTCACCCCGCTCCCCGCCAAGGTTTTTCCCACGCTTGCCCAGCACTGATAAACAGCTTTGACGTTCCTGAAACAGCCGCGGCTGAGTTGCCAGCTCTACGTCACAGCCCATGTCATGCTGAAGTAGAGGGTTGGGTTTCACCCGCTGCACTAAAATTATCCTTCAGGTCAGGCCAGTGACTCAGTTTAGTTTTTGGTGGACAATGCTTGCCATCACCCTGCCACGGCTGTCCCAGCCTGGCTGGCAGGGGTTTGTGCTCATGCCACCCTACCCCAGTCCAGCAGTCTGTGACAGCTGCCTGGGTGGCAATACAATGCTCTTCAGCCTGTCCCCAGTGTCCCATCTTCATTCCCCACTCCACAGGACAAGCAAGGGTGTGGCAGGGACTTCACTGTACCCACAGATGTGGCAGGTCTTCTCCACATTCCTATAGGGCTTTCAAAGGTGTGGGGAAAGCCTTTCCTGTCTTCCCACTGCCGTGCCACTTTGTAATTAATTTATGTGGTTTCTTCAGCTGTTTCCTTTCCTTTTTAAATGAGAGCTGCTTCTGTTAATTTCATGGGGAAATTTGTCATATGGATGCTGAGCTCAGGGTGTTTTTTACCACCCTCTTGGTGCCAGGTAGCAGCCCTTGTGTATTGCTGCAATATGTCATAATGAGTGACTTGTATAATAGAGGACATTCTCGATGCTGGTAGCAGTTTGCACTGCTAAGAGCACAGGAGCATGCTG